CTCTCTCTCTCTCTCTCTCTCTCTCTCTCTCTCTCTCTCTCTCTTGCACACACACACACACACACACACACACACACACACACACGTCGTGAGGGGGACTAGTTGAGAAGAGTGATCAGCAGCAGGAGTAGGAGGGAGATACGTGAAAGGATCTTGAGAAGGGGAAAAAGGATTTTGTGAGTTTTACTTTATTTGGGGTTCTTTTGGTTGTTTTTCTGGGGTTTTAAATGTTGACATTTATTTATTTTGTTTTGTGTGTGTTAGTGTACATGTGAGTATGAGGACATCAGAGGACAACCTACGGGAGTCTGTTCTCTCCTTCCACCATGTGAGTCCCAGACTGTCAGGCTTGGCCTCAAGACCCTTTCTTAACAGAGGCATCTCGTGGTCTTTGTTTTGTTTTTGAGGTTTTCATGAAGCCCACGCTGGCCTTGAACTTGTGATCTTCCTGCCTTCCTCTCTTAAGGGCTGGAATTAAAATGTACCACCACATTTGGCTGGAAGAAGGTATTTTAAGGGAGGGAAGAAGAAGGAAAAAGAAAAGGTAATGGAATTTACATGGCTTAAAAGTAAGGGGCTTAAAACTAAGAGGAAACAAAGGGAACTAGTCAGAGGGAAGTGGCAGGACTGCAAAAGCATTAGGAGAAGGAGGATAAAAAAGTATGTATGAAAATGCCATAATGAACCCATCATGCTGTATACTAACTTAAACTTTTAATTTAAAAAGGGACAGAAAGATGGTTCAGTGAATAAAAACACTAGCTGTGAAAGTCTGATAACCCTAGTTTGATTCCCTAGAGCCCACATAAAGGCAGCAGAAGAGAACTGACTACACAAATTGTTCCCTGACCTCCTCATGTGTGCCATGGTATGAGTGTGCCTATACAAATCATACACACACAACACACACTAGTAATAATAAATAAGATAAAAGGACATTCGCAATTGTCAAAGAACAAAATACATTAATAAAATTAATAAATTAAAAAGAAAAATATTTTGTTTATTTAAAAGTAAAAGCATGCTGGTGCCCTTGTCACTTGGTTTTTATTGTAGTGCCAAACTGCAAATAGTTAAAATGTTTATGCACGAGCGGCTGCTTAATCAAAGTGTACCGCACCTGTATATTGATGTGTCATTCAGGACAAAAGCAAAAGAAAAATGATGAGTGAAATCATCCAAACAAGGAAAAAAGACTGATTATCAGTCTGGGTGTGGTAGTTAATGCCTTTAATCTCAGCAGTCTGGAGTCTGAGACAGAAAGAGCACCCCTTCAAAGCTAGGACTATTTAGCAAGACTAAGTCTTGTTTTGGGTTTTTTGTTTGTTTGTTTGTTTGTTTTGTAAATCCCTATTTATTGGCCAAAGGAAGAAATCCATATGATGAGATTGTGAAAAAAGTGGAAGGAACCCTGGTGGAGGTATAAAGTGATGTAGATACTTTGCAAAGCAGTATGCAGCTTCCGCAAAAGAATCAAATTAGTCCTCCTGAACCTTAAGGATGCTACATCCTGCCACAGATATACCAGCACATATTTATTGCTTATTTCATTACTTATTGTTGTTTGATATGCACCAGGAGAGGAGCAGATAAAGAAAATTTACTACACACACACACACACACACACACACACACAATGAAATTTTACTCAGCCATAAAAAAAGAATAAAATGATGATATTTTCAAGAAAATGGTTGAAACTGGAGATCATCAGGTTAAACAAAATAAGACAAAGAAAAATAAATACCACTTTAGTTTTCTGTCATATGCAAAACCTAAATTTAAATGTCTATGCAATATATACATATATATATACACAAATGAAAGTAGAGAATTATGAGGAGAAAGGTGTCTACAGGGAGGGATGAGTATGGAACAAGAGGGGACAATATATAGCACAAAAGGAGGAAGAAGTATTTCAGGAGGACGGAGTGGAAAGCAAGAGTGAGGAAAGCAGTGGGTAACGGAGTGGGGGGCATGCGATAATAATTAGTGAGAAAAAGAGGCTACAGATTCAAAGACAAGCATGGAGGGTATGGAGGGAGTGGTACATGGGAGGGTATGGAGGGAGTGGTACATGGGAGGGTATGGAGGGAGTGGTACATGGGAGGGTATGGAGGGAGTGGTATATGGGAGGAAAGGGAAGGGAGAAACATAATCATTCTATAATATCAGAAATTTAAAAAAACAATTGAAATATTAAAAGAAAAAAAGAACAAAATAAAATGGCATATATTTATAAAGCTATGCCAATGAAACTATGAACCCCATTACTTTGCATGATAAATCAAGACAATTTAAAAATTCTAAAAGCTAGGAAAGCACTTACTGTTTGAATTTATTTCCATAAATGACAGGAAATGTAATGTAATCTCTTGTGATAGAAAGCTGGTAACTGTGCCTAGGATGGAGGAAGGGTGGAGAGAAGCAACAAGGGATCAGTTATAACAAAGCATGAAGAAATTTGATGATGAACTATATAACGATTGGGCTGCTGAGATGGTTCAGCAGGTTGAATAAAGATGCTTGCTTCCAAGCCTGGAAACCAGAGTTCAATCCCCATTGTCCCCCATAGTGGAGGGAAAAAAACCCATTCCTGAGGGATGTGCTTTGGCCTCCATTAGCATGCTGCAACATGTGTGCACCCCCACTAAACAAATGTAATAAAAATATTCTAAAAGAATGCAATGATTATCTTAACTTTAGGAACAGTTACATGCATAAGTTAAAATGCATAAAATTGTGCAATTTTAGTATGTGTACTTTATTTATACTAATTGCATATAAAATAACAAGAAGATGTTCTAGCTTACCCATGAGATTGCTAATGTATTATATATACATTTAATGTTTAGGGAAGGCAAAGATGTGGTGAAAAACATACTATCCATTCACTGCTGGTAATGCTTACTAAGAAAGGACACAGCTATTCAAGGAATTAAGCCTGGATATTTGTACCATGATTTACATGTACAAAACCTTCCAAACCACTAATTCTGGGACTAGAAATACAAACAAGTAGATAAGCGCACAAATGTGTATGGACTGTTGCTTTTAAAAGCAAGCAAATGCGTTTAAGCAGTGGGTTATAGTATAATAAATTATGATGTGACTATACAGTATATATAGTATTAGAAACTAAAATCTCTTGTGTGCCGCAAGATCCTCATATCACACTGATAAAGGAACTAAAATTTGGCCCATAGACAGAATAGTTTCCAATCACTGAAACCACTAGGAGTCTGTTCATTTTGGCTTTCAGCTCTGCAAACATCTATTTGTATGCAACCTTTTTCCTTTTCCATTGCATAGCGCCCACTAAACATTAAGGTTTCAATGCAATGTTGACTCATTTATTTGGATATACTCTTTCTGATTACACTGAATTAGTCTGATATGTCCTACTTCATGCCTGGATGCATCATCTACGGTTCTGCTAATCAGAGCCAGCATCCTTTACACAACACTTTTTAAAATGCTAAGCTTTTAAACTGTGTTCACTAACAAGCTGTGGACTCGCTCTCAAACCTCCAATGACTTTGGATCAATGCCTAACACATAATAGATGTTATGTAACTATGGCTCTTGCAAAAATAAAATTTCTGACCTAGAGTATTGTTGTCACTAATATCGAATTCTGGACTACTTTATAACAACTAATTTAATCCCTCCCAAAGGAAATTACCTGACAAGAATAGTCTCCATGATTTCATAGATAGCAGTGGTTCAACAGCGTCCCAAGGATTTTAATCTCATATATGGTAGAATCTGGAACTGAGGCCAAGAAATCTCCATTTAGAGTCCATGCCTTTATAACCTGTATATGACTGTTTTCTCTAGATAAATAACTGGGAAGCAATATGGCAATCAGTCTTTTTGTGGCTTTGCAAAAAATCCCTAGAACCTAAGCCCTGTTCCCACTTACTTCTCTGGGAAAACTAGCTGGCAGTTGAGGCCCTAGGCTGTACATTATTTGTCCGCTCTATCTATTGTGCTGAGCAAAGTTACATTGTCCTTGTGGAGAGAAACAATGGTTCATTTAAGTAAAGACGGGGGAAATGGTACCCGCTCCTCATTTCACTGGTGTGGCAGAAGGGAGTGCAGCATTAAATATACCTGAAATTGCTTTACCAAGTAGGAAGTATCAGTGAACTTTGCTTATAAAAGGAAACTCCAGTAAGAGTAAATTTGGGGAACTACATTCCCATATATACCATCAAAATTAGAAAGAAATTATGCAAAATTTCAGTCTATATACAGAATCACAAATATGGTAATAAATAAATATATAATAAATACATCCCGAGTCAAGCGGACCTTCTGTAATGGTTCAGGGAGCACAGGGAAGGTGAGGATATAAAGATTGTAAAAGTCAAAGGATCAAGGAATTTGCTGTGAGATTGTGTCTCTTAGTAATACCAGAAGCCGCACCCATAAAGCCTCACCAACATGACACCACAGACACTGAAAAAGGATGACACCAATGAACATGGCAAACTGCACTGGGAAAAAAAAAATCCATGAAATCTCAACCCTACACAAAGAACTACAAACAACTAAGAAAAGCTGGGAGTAGAAGAAATCATATTCCACAGGGAAGAGCCCACCAACTGGTTGCCCAGTGCCAAATAGTCAACTCTGAAAATATACATACAAGTAACATTATAGAGAATGAACAGGTCCTATTTAGAAATATATACCTACTATCAATATACATATATGCATGCAATAACAACTAGTGAAAAAAAAGAGTCCCGAATTGTAAGGACATATGAGACCGTTTGGACAGAGGGAAAGGAAGGGAGAAATATAATTATATTATCACAAAAATAAAATAAAGTAAAAGACAAAACTCAAAAATGACTAGTGTGAAATGTTAACTTCCACAGAGACTGACAGCAAACTGGACAGACAATGCCAGAGAGATCAGCTTTTTCTCTCTGAACAAGTACAGAACAAGTCAGAGGACTAGGATATTCAGTAAACTTATCAAGGGCCTCGAACCGATACAAACCGGCTCCAAATTCATGTGCCCAGCTCTGATTTCAGTTTCTCGACAGCAGCCATCTCCTTGCTACACACACACACACACACACACACACACACACACACACACACACACACGAGTCTCGGCCTCACTAGGTGAGCTTCTGCTGGCAATGCTGTTGCCACTGACACACTGCGCGCCACACCGAGTTCACTCACTAGATAAAGCCATATCCGATTCCACAGACTCCACCAAAAAGCTGGGAGATGTCAAAGTCTATGAGCCCCACAGGCTCATTTCCCCAGGAGGATTACAAACTGAGACTCTCTCCAGCTTACGTTCATCCCTTCTAGCCAAACAAGTACAAAGTACCCATTTGCCTCTTAAGACATAAGAGCTCACGTGAGGGGCTGGCGCAATGGCTCAGCAGCTAGGAGCACTTGCTGCTCTTCCAGAGGAACCAAGTTTCCTTGCCAGCACCCACATCAGGCAGATCGCAACCACCTGTAACTCAGTTCCATGGGATCCCACGCCCTCTGCTAGCCCCTCGTGTACAGCACACGTGGATGCATGCGCGTACGCAGGCACGCAATTTAAAACACATCTTAAAAAGGAACACATGTAAAAGCTTTTCCATCACATAATCCTCCACATGCATTTATTAAATGCCACTCTCACCTGCTGCTGCTGCTTGAAACACACTTAGAGGCAAAGCCTGTCTTACACTATGCAGTGAAGGCTTTTCACTGCATTCACACAACCCTTTGAAGCCAGTACTTGAGTTACATCCATCCACTTTAAGGGGGTGGGGGTGGGGGTGGGGGAGCCAGGCTCTGAGCAAGTTCACATTTCAAATGACACAAGAAAAGCAGAATGCCTAACTATGGGGCCTTCCTTGGGGGAGTAAGGACCGACTCATTATTCTTTGGGGAAGGCCAAAATAAACTTAAACAAGGAAGATGCCCGTGAGCAAGCAGGTGGAGCTTAGCTAGTGCAGAATGGAGGGAAGACATTCAGGCAGAGGAATCTGAGCAGAGAGAAGGAGTGGACAAAGGTCAGAGTGTGCACGGGGGAGACAGGGCAAGGCACGCCTGCTGGCTCGCTGGCCTAGAAACCTAAGCTCCAACTGCACTCTACCATCTCCCTGCTCCCCATTCCCATCCATTGTCTGAAGCCTGCCAGTGGTCTCCCTTCAAATGCCTTTCTGTCTCTCAGTCCCCATGGCAACAGCCTTAAAGCTCACTTTCATCCAGCTGCTTCTTATTCTAATTGCTTCCTCTGTGGCCTGCCAGGAAGTATTCTGCCCCTCTGTGAGGCTGCGCAAATCTAAGTCTGATCTTCTCACCGCCCGCTTAATTGCCCAGGCCAACACGTAGCCCTGAACAGGCTCTGCACCTCTTGAGCACTGCTAGCTGGCTTTGCACTCCCATCTCCTCCCCTCACCCACCGCTTTGGTCATTAAGTCCATTATTCAGCTCCCTCATGGGCCCACGAATTAATTAGCCACACATAAACGCCTTCTGAAAACCGGGCGGGAGAATGAATGTGTTGCGTAAGCCAGGACAGCCAAGGAGGGCTAGGGTCAGCTGACCCCTTGCAAGACTAAGCTCCGCCGCACCCCTCCCACACCCCCTCAGTCCGGCGCCTTTGGTGAGAATGGAAGGGCCTATTGCTTGCCAAAACCTATGAACCAATAGGATAACGTGTGCACCTGCCTAAAGAATACCGAGATTCTTCTCTCCTGCGCACAGGACAAATCCCCGCCAACCCTTAGCTGTCTTATCTACCCTTGGGGGGACCCAAAATGCAGCCCGCTCCTTTTCCTTTGGGTTAGCGGAAGTTCCTGTGCGGGAGCGTCCCACTTCCTCTTGGGTGCTTGGCGTGTGCGTGGCAGGAGAGGCGGGGCTAATGCTGCTCCGGTTTCTCGCGCGCTTGGCACTGTGGCGAGTGCGGGCGGCGACTGCTTGCGCAAGTCTGATAGCCAGGGAAAGGGCTTTGTGGCCGAAAGACCACTTCCTTGCTACAAAGACTCCGCTGGCGTTTGCGCTTTGGCGGCTCTCCCTGCGGAGGCTCGCCGCTTTATTCGGACGCTGTAGCGATCGTTCTCTAGAACTGCTGCGGGCTTTGAGTGCTTGGCCGGAGCCATGCCTCGGGGACGGAAGAGTCGGCGCCGCCGGAACGCAAAGGCAGCAGAAGAGAATCGCAACAATCGCAAAATCCAGGCCTCAGAGGCCTCTAAGACCCCGATGGCGGCTTCTGTGGTCCCCAGCACACCCGAAGACTACCTGAGCGGCCCTGAAGAAGACACAAGCACTCCGGAGAAGGCCTCCACTCCTCCTGAAGAAGCTTCAAGCACTGCCCCAGTGCAAAAGCCTATTAAGCGGAGCAGTTTTCAGGGCACCAAGAAAAGTCTCCTAATGTCCATATTAGCCCTCATCTTCATCATGGGCAACAGCGCCAAGGAGGCCCTGGTGTGGAAAGTGCTGGGGAAGTTAGGGATGCAGCCTGGGAGGCAGCACAGCATCTTTGGAGATCCGAAGAAGGTCGTAACGGAAGAGTTTGTTCGCAGAGGGTATCTGCTTTATAAGCCAGTGCCCCGCAGCAGTCCGGTGGAGTACGAGTTCTTCTGGGGCCCTCGAGCACACGTGGAATCCAGCAAACTGAAAGTCATGCATTTTGTGGCAAGAGTTCGGAACCGGTGCTCCAAAGACTGGCCATGTAACTATGACTGGGATTCGGATGATGATGCAGAGGTTGAGGCTATACTCAATTCAGGTGCTAGGGGTTATTCCACTCCATAGAGAGATCCCAGGCAGACCCTTAGGAGTGGAAAAGAGAATCCAAAGTACTCCGTGGAGTAGATAGGCAGGGTCCTGAAATCAAAATGATGTGGAGGGTGGGGAGGGCACTGTATTTGGTATTTGTGATCAGTGCTAATTGTTAAATTGCAAAATGGTGTTTGCTTTAGGTATTGTAATCTTGTATTCGTTTTATAACACTGTTGATTAAGAGTCACAATATGTTTAAATATATAATTGAGAAGATGTTTATGTTATTTCTCCTGTCATTGACATTTGCTACAACAGCTGTGCTACCTTATTGAATGAAGGCCATTTGTCATGTGGGATGTACAGGATTTGTACCACGGTGAGGGGCTGTTCTTTGAAAGTTTGGAATAACTAGTACATTGTGAGTGAGGGAAAATAACAGACTCATTCTGTCTTAACTTTGTGTCTGATGTCTTGTAATGAAGTCCGTCTGTGGATATGCTCACTGCGCAAATAGCATAAATAAAAGCATAGTAAATGGTATGTTTTCCTCATTTATTGTCCACCGGTTGAGATCAAATTTTGATTTTAGGGACAGTCCTTAACAGACAATACCTACTTTCCAAGAAACTTCTAGACAGTTTGGGAGGGGAGAAGGTGGAAATGCAGTAAGTGTTGGTGAGAAATGAACATAGAAAAGTAAGGAGAAGGTAGACAGGCTAGGGGGACTGGAACAGGGAAGGAGGGGTGTGGGAAAAACCAAGAAACACTTGGAGAATGTAGACAAGCTTGGAAAAGGTCATCATAATAGAGTATTTGCTATAGGAGTTTCACTGGACTCTTAACACACCTTGAGAGAAAAGCCATTGGCAAAGACTTGAAAACATTCCAGAGTATTATAAAAATAATAAATACATGGGAATTATTATGAGAGACAGCAGGAGAAATAGGTAGGTGTGGGGACACACAAAGTGACAGGGAGGAGACAACTAGAAAATACTTAAGGTTATATTGGGGTGTGGGAATAAATTTGGAGTCACTGAAGGCAACATAGAAAGTTAGGGAATAAGACATTCCTCAATGAACTACTCAGGTGCTGTTGGGGGAAGCAGAGGGTAAAAAAGAAGGAGGCGAGGGGAGAGCCAGTGCCCCACAGCTGGCTGTCACAGCAGTGGTAATAAAATCATCAATACCTGTGGTGACCCTGGGACACTGGGGACCAGGACTCTGAAACAGCTGGCCTTCAGCATGTTGGGGGAACCTGAGAGAAGATTGAACTTGAAACTAGGAAACTTAAAGTTTCTCAGGTGCTGCACAGTGCTCAACTGGCTCAGTGTGTGTGTGTGTGTGTGTGCTCGCACGTGTGCAAGGGTGTGCCCTGTGTATTGTTTTTTCAGGGTCAAGGTAATGTTCCCATTTCACTACCCTTTGAGGTGCTGTGGGAACTACAGATGTGGAGATATAGGCGCCTGCTCACCATGCTCCTTAACTACCTGGCTGAGGACACTTAGGAGAGATCTCAGGTTCTAGAGCTGACCACATTTACCACAAGGAGAGGACTAAGAAAACACTGCAGTCTCCATCTAGGGAACATGAAGGACAGGTGCCTGACCCAGGCATGCCACACAAACCACAGAGACCCGTGTACTTCCTGCCCTTTTGCACCACAGTTTCACCTGGCTAGTGGCTGAGGACAAGGCCCAGCAGCTGTGTGCGGGGCAGGGTGGCAAATGATTGTATGCAAAGCCCAAAGGCACAGCCAGCAGTGTGGAGGCTAAGGAGGCTGAAACAGGAAGCAGAGCCCATGAAGCAAGCTTCAGCAGGTCCCAGCACATATGATGACCATCTTCTATGATTCAGGAAGTGCCAGAGAAGCCTGACAGACACAAACAAGGTTGTCACTTACCTCTGGAGGTACAGGTGACATCAAGTCTACATCAAGAGGTGGGCAGCCAGGGAATCCAAGGGAGGTCAGCAAGAGGCTTTCAGGGCCAGATCCACTGAAGTGACAAACTTGACACAATCCTAAGTCTTTCTCCACACTCCCAGAGCTCCTTTCTCTAGGCCTGCATCTGTTATGGCTGGCCACTGCACACTCACGAGTCTCTTCCTTCAAGGGAAAAATGAAGGTTCAGCCCTCTGCCATCAACCCCACGCAAGGGAGATTCACTGTGTCTCCTCCTTGTCTTGAGCAGAGGTTCCTCTAAGCAGTCATTCAGCCCCAGTTAGGAAAGTCAGGTAGGAAGTAGGAGAAGCTGTACCAGAGATTTTCTTAAACACTTGATGCGTGCCAGAAGAGTGTCACATTTTGTCCCTGCCAGGCCATGGTGATCAATGGACAAGTTTTACAGAAGTCCCAGCTAGCTCAGGGCTAGATGTAATTTATGTCCATCTGACGTCTGCCTGAGTCTGTGATGGCTCTCTTGGGCCTAAAGATCCAATGCGACTATCCCTGTGTACATGCCTAGAAGCTTCAAGAAGACCCCAGAGCAGGAGAATCCTACACTGGGGAAAGAACAGGAATAAGCCTCCAGCGGTACTGTACCAGACATAGCAGCTGGAATCCCAAGAGCTTCAGCGGGAGGCACTGCCCAGCTTCATTGTGGAAACCAAGGCTTGGATGACCTGCATTGCCGGGGTGTGGGAGGAGGCCTTCAAGGGGCTAGGGTCATCTCCCTGAGGGTCCAAACCTCCAACCACACTGTTGAAGAACTGCAAGGAGATACTTTCTTC